ATCAAACGTAAGGATGTTTTCCACAAAGCATGTCATAGGTAGGGACGTTTTGCGCCAATTACCCTAAAATATAATTTATTTTCGTGGTTATTAATCAAATCGAACTGAGATATTAACCGAGCCGAACCGAACCGACTTTCGTGGTTATGGTGTGGTTATGGTATGACCAAAAATTTGGTGGTGCGGTTATGATTTTGACCGAACCGACCCCGAACCAAACCGTTGCCATCCCTAGGTAATATGGCCAGAAATGGCGCCTTTTTCTTTTGTCTTTTTTTTTTTTTTTGGTATACGAGATATTGACATTTTCAAAACTTCGCCACATCAACGCACTGTAAAAAATTCGGTATATAGGACTATACGTGTAGTTACCTGAAAATCAGACATGAATACTGAGTTAAAATGAGATTAGGATGCATGCTAGAGACGTAAAAATTGTTTTTGGGCTGCCAAATCTTGTTTAGTAAATATCAAATGAATACTTTAAGAGTGACATTTCCAAAACTGTATTCATAAGTTTGTTCTATTGTATTTAGAAACATTAATTAAGGTTTAGAATTTAAAGTAATTGTTACATTCGATCAGAGGGAGAGAAAGGTTGTCGGTGTTTGAGTAGATGGGAAGTATTAATCCTCTCACAGTTTTCATTGGCCGTAATGGTACACGAAATATCGAGTGTGTGAGTGATATATGACATCTTGCCTTGTGACCGTAGATTATCAGGTGGTTATCATAGCCCCTCAGTTGCATATTCTTCACATTTAGTCTTCAAACTCGACAGTTTCTAACTGAAAAAGTTAAAAGAGTAACGTAAAACATGCCTATCTTTTTATTGGAATGTCTTATTTTATCTATTTCCTTGATTTCTTTCTTGGGGCTTCTTTTTGCCAATTGCTATCCAATATATTAAAAACATAATTCAGCAAATTAATTATGTCGTACGATTAACATAAGATACATTTCTCACTACAGAAAATTGGCTATCTAAGGTGTTTAATCTAACTTGTAGTTTGTACTGTCAAATTCTCATGTTGTAATTTTCAATATACGGGATATTCCTTCTTTGATTTACTTTCTTCCTCTTGTCCTTAAGTTTTTTCATTCATCATTCCTCCTTTCATCAATTCATGACCTATAGTTTTCATTTTTTATTTTTTTTTTTTGCCCCCTTCATTAGGTTTATGAGATGAAAATGCGAAGATAAACACATTTGGGTCAAAGCAAATTTCAATTAATTTGAATCTTTTGTTTCGCCTACCACACGTTTAAAATTGTTCTATTTGATATTTGATGACATATCGTAAAATGACGTGCTTCTATTACACTATGGAGACACATGGTTCCATTTGAGTCTTTTTCAACTTCAGCTGACCTGTCCTTTTTCTCCTTATTGAACAATTGGTTATATGTTTTAATAGAAACCTTCTACTTGAAGTCTTTGGTATAGTCACTTGCATTATTATTGTTGGTATGACTATTTAACAATCTTGTCCGTAGTAGATAAACGTGGGATCCTATGTCAAGTAAGTAAAATGGAAAACATCTATGAGGATATTGGTAGATTCATAGATTTTTTATGACATGAAGCCAATTGGAAAACATCACGTGAAGCAGAATTTCACCTTTTTGAGGCCATGTCTTGGAACTGAAATGAAGACCAGTTCCGACTTAAGCATGTTTAAAAGTTGTTTATAATAGGTTTAAATTATAAATAGGTTGAAAGGTGTATAAGTGGGTAGTACTTATGAGTCCTACAAAATATGTGGATAAAAAGTGGTTTCACCCATTTAAAAAGGTGCTAAACAAGGGCAATAAGATCCTCATAGTGTAGAAAAATTATAATTCAATTGTGGAAAGATGTACCTTTTCCAGCTGAAGAGTTGATGTTTCTCATTCCTTGTAGAAAATCAGGCTTTGAAGCAAAAGATATGATGTGCTTTCCTAAATTTTCTTCTGGTTTTCTCCTGCAAAAACCAAAGGAGCTTTCAGTTATAAGGGATTGATCATCTTTAAGCTTCTCTTGAGACCAAATGCGATCAGAGTTTAATTAATCCTAAATTCATTCATAGCTGCACCTTTGGCATTTCCTCGGAGTTGAATTTATCCTTGAGATTCTGAAAATGTTGAAAAGAATATGCACTAATTCAGTTCCACAACACATCAAGAGTAAGTTCAAGTTAAAGAAACAGAATCAGTGTAAAATCTTGCCACTTCTCTATTGGCAACTCTTTCTTGACAAGAAACCAAGGACTTCGTAAGAGAATCCAAAGATTATTTTATGAAGCACTGGCATTGGCAAACATACAGTAAAATTGGATGCGGACACTCTTAGATTCAATCATCAATAAAATTATGTTCTTCATTCAAGATGCATCTAAATGTTTTTCTTTTTCTGAAAATTAGACGATGTACCTTATCTCTGAATGAGGTACTTCAGATGTTTTGCTGTGAAACCATGACTTAAATGAAGAAAGAGCTGATCTTTTCTTGCTTGTCACATATTGCCTTTCACATTCAGCAAACAAATTATGCTGCATTGGCACAAAACGATCAGTTTCAAACTAAGCATGTTTGGTTAAGAGGATCCAATATGATGTAACAAATGTGTACTGAATTAAGATATTCACCAAAGAAAAGAAATCTACCTTGTCAGTTTCAATCACCTTCAACAAAGATTTGTCTGCCTTTGGTATATCATTAGGCTCTGATTCAGAAACTGTGTCATTGTTTTCAAGATTATGAAGTATGAACCTGATTCATCGAAATTTTCTTCACAGAAGTCTCCATCAAGGATTCTTTTTCTGTCATGATGGCAGTTTGTTCCACCTTGACACTTTCTACTTGGTTTGATTCAACCTTTTCAACATCTTCGTTATGCTGGAATAATTGAGAAAATTGAAATTAGTATGTTATAGTTGTCATTGTACTGTTCAATAAAAAGAGGTCTAGTGTACTTTTGCATCTGGGATCTTTTGCTCATCAACAAAATTTGCGGCCGCCTTTTGAGCTGCTATTCATTTCTTCTCTCACTTCCTTAGTATATTTCTAGTTGTATTATATTATTACATAATATTTAATTTTTTTCGTTTCTCAAGAGTTTATTCATTAAAATCTTAGTTTTACACTATAAGATAGATTGTGATCAATATTTTGGTTGCGCATTGTATTGCTTTCAATATACCAGTAAAGAACCTGTTTGGGTCTTTTGACTGTTTCGTAGTCAAAAGCTCCATATGTGTAATAGCACAGGAATGGCTGGTTCACTGGTTTTCAGGCCAAACCGGTCTAGTTTCAGTAACTATGCTTACGCAGGTGCCCATATTATAATGAATACCCTCTGGCATTTAGTACATCATGCAGTGATGGTGAACACTTTAAAAGTATCTTTTCCACCAAGGAAAGGAAGAAAAGATCTAAAAATGTGTTGGCAGCTGATGCACACAATTGTAGATTAAACTAAAATCTGGATGTCCTAAAAAGAAGTGGAAGTTTGACATACAAGGATGGGAGATGTCATGACAGGAGAGTTTTTTTTCTACTTTAGGGGCGACATTTGCAACTGAAGAACCAGAAGCCTGCTCAAAAAATAGAAAGTTCTTCGTAACTTGATGTGATAATTATTCAGCTAAAGATCAGAAAAGTAAGAAGAAAATGGAACCTTGATTGCAGCTGCTTCCATGGGGGATCTTAATGCTTCAAATGGGGCTTCAACAGTTCTTAAGGATCTCATACCAGAAGCATTTGCAAGTATCTTGATTCCACTGTCCGCGGTGGTAACAGCGAGCAGATTCCCTTCCTTGTTAAATCTCAAGCGTGGAAGATTCTGCAACAAAAATATGTCCAGCAATTTATTGAATACTTTGTTTGAATCCTCTGAGGCAGTTTAAGGGAGCACGAGTTTATCTGGTTGTCTATTCATTAACTCAGGATTACAAAATAAAATATTCTACTGACCGGAAGACCACCATCTGCATTTGGCACTTTGTCGCTGCCTTAGCAGCATGCCTCCGTACACGCGGACGGAGGCACGACGTGCCTCCATTGTTGTGCACGGAGGCACCAACGTGCCTCTGTACACGCGGACGGAGGCACGACGTGCCTCCATTCTCGTGCATGGAGGCACCAGCGTGCCTCCGTGTGCAACAAGAGCGTAGCTTTGCTTTTAGAAACACTTCTGAAAAAACATAACACTGAAAACATCGTACACCCAACCCCCAAACTGAAAGAAAGAAAATAGACAAACCAACCTTGAGAGTTTCTTTGACACTTCTGTTATTGAGATAGTAAAACATAGGCCAAGCAACAATTTTTAAGATTACAAAACTGAAACAAAGGCTTCGAGTAGGAAATGAAAGGGGAAAGCAAGAAGAAAATATAATTG